TGATGAGATAGGATTGTTGTTGTTGTTATGTGCTTTCAAGTCGTTTCAGACTTAGGTTGACCCTGAGCGAGGTCCAGATAAATGACCTTGGAGGGCCGCATCCGGCCCCCGGGCCTTAGTTTGAGGACCCCTGATCTAGGACGTTAAGATCGTCTGGGGAGGCCCTGTTCTCGGTCCCGCCGGCATCACAAGCACGCCTGGCGGGGACGAGAGATAGGGCCTTCTCAGTGGTGGCCCCTCGGCTGTGGAACGCCCTTTCTACAGGTATCAGATCGGCCCCCTCCTTATTGACATTTCGGAGGAAAGTGAAGACCTGGCTGTTCGAACAGGCATTTGATTAGGCAGTGTAATTGATTATAGGAACACGGAATAATGGATGATGAGACTGGATTGTGATTCTATTGATGAGACGTAAATGATTTGTCATATTGATGTTTAATTGTTGTTATACTATTTCTTTTAAATGTTCCAATGATTTTGTAATGTTTGTATTGAACTGTTGTTAACCGCTTTGTCACCCAAGGGCTGAGAAAAGCAGTATATAAATGAAGTAAGTAAGTAAATAAATAAATAGCCCTCCCCTGCCAGGCGTTGCTGTGGCCCAGTCTGGTGATCTGGAAAATAAAGTATTGAGAAAGTGCTGGTTTCTAATAGATGTAATTTCTTTATGCTTGTGGGTAAACAGTCTTTCGTGTTGTTTCTTTGTTAGTGTTGATGTGGAGATTGACTGGTTTGCCTACTCTGGAACATGCAACATGGTACTGTGTGCCATGTTTGGTTCAATTGCATCATTGGTGGAGTTCAGAATGCTCTTTGATTGTAGTTTAATTATAAATCCCTACAACTACAATTCCCAAATGACAAAATCAATTTTTTGAGTGATGGTCCTTCTTTAGGGATCCCCTTCAAATCTGTGATACTATATCTGTGTGTGTGTGTGAATCATATAGATCTATCTGTTTGTTTGTCAGTGTTGAAGTGGAGATTGTCTGGTTTGCGTACTGTGGAACATGCAACATATAATTGTCCTTCTTTAGGGATCCCTTTCAAATCTATGATACTATATCTGTCATATACTGTACATATGTGCGTGTGTGTGTCATATATATCAATATCTATGGCTGGATGGTTCTTTGTCAGCAGGGATGTGATTATGATTTCTTGCCCTGGTGGAGGGAGTTGGACTGGGTAGCCTTAAGTATTTTCTGTTGGTCATGGGAGTTCTGTGTGGGAAGTTTGGCCCAATTCTGTCGTTGGTGGAGTTCAGAATGCTCTTTGATTGTAGGCGAACTATAAATCCCTGTAACTACAACTCCCAAATGTCAAGATCTACTTCCCCTCAAACTCCGACTGTATTCATATTTGGGCATATGGAATCTCCGTGCCAAGTTTGGTCCAGATCCATCATTGTTTGAGTCCACAGTGCTCTCTGGATATAGGTGAACTACAACTCCCAAATTCAAGGTCAATTCCCACCAAAACCTTCTAGTGTTTTCCGTTGGTCCTGTGTGCCATGTTTGGTTCAATTCCATCATTGGTGGAGTTCAGAATGCTCTTTGATTGTAGTTTAATTATAAATCCCTGCAACTACAATTCCCAAATGACAAAATCAATTTTTTGAGTGATGGTCACTCCTTGGGTTAGTAGGTGTCTTGTGGCCAAATTTGGAGGCAATTTGTCCTGTTGTTTTTGTGTTATGTTAATCCCACAAATGAACATTTCATTGTTATTTATATAGATTATTATTATTATTATTATACTACATTTATACCCCACCCTTCTCACCCCAATGGGGGACTCAGGGCGGCTTACAGACCATGGCATACAATGCCACACTACACATATAAAAATAAACATCAATTTAAACAATGAGTGTATCAATTTAAACATACAGTAATGAACGTGACATATGAATTGAACAATTCCAATATAAATACAATAAAAAGCTGTAAAAGCAAACATTCAATCCCAACCAAAGTGGGCTGATGACATATCAATTAAACAATCAGTTAAACAATTCAATAAAAATGTAATAAAACATCTTAAAGATAAACATACATTTAATCCCAACCAAAGCGGGCTCATGGAATAAGCAGCCAGAAGCGGCAGGTGAGGTGGTGGAACCCCGAAAATGAGAACCCACACAGATGTTCCAATATCTGGACAATGGACGGTGTGGCCATTAAAGTAGCCGCATGGTGAAGCAGTGAGGGCTGTGGAGGCACCTCACGCAGTGGTTCTGAAAGCCGGGCAATGGGCAACGCGGCTGTTAAAGTAGCCGCATGGTACGGCTGTGGGGCCATGTTTGCTCCTTGGAGGTTGCTGAGTCAGCTGGCTGGAATGAAGGTGTGGCTGTGGGTCACCTTGTGGGTAAGCCCAAGGCTGGAGCCTAGGTATGAATGTTTCAACTGACCACCTTGATTAGCATTTGAGGGCCTGGCAGTGCCTGAGGCAATCTTTTGTTGAGAGGTGATTAGATGCCCCAGATTGTTTCCTCTCAGTTGTTTTGTTGTCCACAGCTGCATGGTATGCGGTAGACTCGATGCCATTGAAAAGATGACACAATGTGTGGATTTAAAGATCGAACTGCAAAGAATGCGGCACAAGCCAGTCAAGGTGGTCCCAGTGGTGACTGGCACACTGGGTGCAGTGCCTAAAGACTTTGGCCTGCACTTAAACACAATCGGCGCTGACAAGATTACCATCTGCCAGCTGCAGAAGACCACCTTACGGGAATCTGCACGCATTATTTGCCGATGCATCAAACAGTCCTAGACACTTGGGAAGTGTCTGACATGTTGTTGTTGTTCATTCGTTCAGTCGTCTCCGACTCTTCGTGACCTCATGGACCAGTCCACGCCAGAGCTCCCTGTCGGCCGTCACCACCCCCAGCTCCTTCAAGGTCAGTCCAGTCACTTCAAGGATGCCATCCATCCATCTTGCCCTTGGTTGGCCCCTCTTCCTTTTTCCTTCCACTTTCCCCAGCATAATTGTCTTCTCTAGGCTTTGCTGTCTCCTCATGATGTGGCCAAAGGACTTCAACTTTGTCTCTAGTCTCCTTCCCTCCAGTGAAGGATGGACTGGTTGGATCTTCTCGCAGTCCAAGGCACTCTCAGACATGTGATCCAATAAAACAGCCAGCAGAGTGTCTGCTGTGGACTCATCTTGTGGTGTTTCAAATAATAATAATAATAATAATAATAATAATAATAATAATAATAATAATAATAATTTCTTGCCTGCCTCTCCTCATGGCTTGAGGCAGGTTACAACCTTGCTGAAACACATTCATCTAAAAACATTCTTTAAAATACACATATTAAAACACATTTCCACAAAATACACATTAAAATACAAAGATTAAACAAGATACAAGTTTAAAATTGGTCCTCGGATTCAAACAGCCAACCTTGCGGTCAGCAAGTTCAGCAGCTCAGCGGTTTAACCGGCTGTGCCACCAGGGGCCTGTATCAAAGCGGATAATCCACATTATCTGCTTTGAACTGGATGATATGAGTCTACACTGCCATATAAGCCGGTCTGAGTCCCTCTTTGGAGGTGAGAAGATCGGGATATCAAAGTTTTAAATAAAAAAATAGAATTCAATTTGAAGCAGATAATCTGGATTTTATAGGCCGTGTAGAAGGGGCACCTGTCTCTCTTGGGAGGGAGTTCCAGAGTCTGGGAGCAGCCCCGCAAAAGGCCCTCCTCATCCTTGTTCCCACCAAAGAAGTGCGAGAGAAGGGTGGGACAGAGATAAGACACTCCATGAAACCGGTCATAAAGAGAGACGGAGAATGCCATGTTCCACTACCATGCTTGCCTCATACTAGTCTTCTACCTTTGGGGCAGCTGAGTTTCACCTCTGGCAAGTGGAGGCAGAGGAATCTGCAATATTTTGCTCTTGATACTCATTTCTAATTCTATTTGGTAACCACATCAATATATATAAACACAAATATACCAGTGACTTTTGTTACCTGCTGCAGTTTGGTTTCAGGACACTACAATGAATGTCAAAATCCATGGATGCCCAACATTCATTACTGCAAGTCACTTCTGGTGTGAGAGAATTGGCCATCTGCAAGAACGTTGCCCAGGGGGCGCCCGGATGATTTGATGTTTTTATCATCCTAGTGGGAGGCTTCTCTCATGTCCCCGTATGAGAAGCTGAAGCTGCTAGAGGGAGCTCATCCACCTCTCCCCAGATTCAAATCTGCGACCTGTCGGTCTTCAGTCCTGCCTGCACAGGGGTTTAACCCACTGCGCCACCATAGTAAAATGAAGTCCTTTGTATCAAGATCTGCTTTTGGGAGGAAGTTTGGGGGAGGCATATCTCCAAGCTGTGGGTACAGAGAGCTGATTGTATGTTCATGCATATACAGGTAGAGTGAATGTGCTGCGATTGAAAGGTCATATAATGTAATTTAATGCTTGAAAATCTTTTGAAATGAGTGGAAACTTTTTAAGCAAACATAAAGGTAGTTGGGTTGTTGTAGGTTTTTCGGGCTGTATGGCCATGTTCTAGAAGCATTTGTTGACAAACCTCACAACCTTTGAGGATGCCTGCCATAGATGAGGTGAAACGTCAGGAGAGAATGCTTCTAGAACATGGCCATACATCCCGAAACACCTACAATAACCCAGTGATTCAGGCCATGAAAGCCTGCAACAATGCAGAAAGGTAGTTTTAAAAAAATTGAGCTTATAGATAATATGAAATCATGGAGTTGGGACTGGGGTGAGGAATAAAGGAACAGTTTAATGAAGGGCAGGTGGGACTGGGATTGGATTAGCAGAGGCCTAAGAGAAAGGAGGAGCCAGCCTTACTTGGCTGTGGAATAAATTCAGGGATTGTTGTTTGACTCTCCAATAAAAGCCTTCCTGAACCTTCTCAGCTAATTCTGATTTTTCTTCAAAGAGGATATGTGACTTTTTTTGCTAGTCTTCCTAACTGTAACATCTTGTCTTTGGAGAATTCTAGAGCAGAGCTGGTCCAAGGACTTTCATTTTCTGAGAGAAGAAGGAGGAAAAGCATATTGGATCCAATTTGCTTCTTAATCAAACAGTGGTTCCAACATGGGGAAACCCAACTCACCTGGAAGTGAAGCAGGACCTGGGAGATTTGGGGCATTCTGGGGAAAAAGTACACATAAGCCCCTGAGTGTGGACCTTTCTAGCTCAGACATACAGTGCCAGCGCTTCAGGCATTCCTCCTTCCGAGAGGGTGAGGGACCCAGAGAGGTTTGCAGCCGCCTCCACTCTCTCTGCCGCCAGTGGCTGAAGCCAGAGCAGCACACCAAGGCGGAGATGCTGGACCTGGTGATCCTGGAGCAGTTCCTGAGCATCCTGCCCCCAGAGATGGGGAGCTGGGTCCGAGAGTGTGGGGCAGAGACCTCTTCCCAGGCGGTGGCCCTGGCGGAAGGCTTCCTCCTGAGTCGGGCAGAGGACGAGAAGCAGGAAGGACAGGTGGGAGCATTTCCTCTTGGCTTCACTCACCTTGCGAGTGATGGATAAACATACATCCTGCCTTTCTTCCAAGATGGGACCAATGTGATGGAGGAGGCAGATTCTGCTGCCTCTGTCTCTTTTCCCACCTTCTTTGCCCCTCCTGCTATGAACTCCATAGTCGCTGTAAGCTCAGTTTCTCCTCTACTCAAATTTGTTGACATCAGATATAACATATGAAAATTATTTATTTATTTATTTATTTATCGTGTCAAAAGCAAATTGGGGATACAGTTATAATGATGAGAGGGGAGAGCATGGCCTTTGTTTAAAACTAGGTTGCAGACTGCAGTTCCTGTACATTTGGTCCTTTTCCTTTTCTAATCTTTCTACATACTCTGAAATTCTCTGTGATCTTTCAGGCCCAACATAACTGTATTGAAGTCCAGCCTGATGTTCCTGAATCAGAGAAACCTCACTCGGACACCACCCAGAGTCTCCAGCAGAAGGAGCTCAACCAGGAAGGAGATGTCGCTGCAGACTTGGAAGGTAAGAAGGAACCCTTTGGAGTGTTTTGGTGATTTTGTCAGTATAACTTCCCCTAGACTTAATGTCAAGGGGAAACCTTTACCCTTCTTTTAAGTTCCCCTTTGAGGGGATTGTAGCACATCCCCAATCAGTTTGAGATTGAGACCATGCACATGCAGGATCATTTGGTCTTGAGATTAATTTTTAGATAGGCATTCGGTTGCCCAGAATCCCTTTGGGGAGATGTGGCGGGTTATAAATAAAGTTGTTATTATTATTAAAAGGTAATTTCAGTATGATTTGCAGATTTCTTTCTTGCAATACATCTGCATTAGCCGAAAGTTGAATTGGACTGAAAATTCAGCCCTTCAGTATCTTTCTAGGTGGGACATGAATCTAAGATGACCCCTCAAACCGAGCTGGAAGACAAAGCGACAACAAACAATAACTTTGGTCAATTGAATTACCAAGCCCAGTACTAGTTTCAATGCAACTTATTTACAGCACTGGTTGAGATAAAAAGTCCTAAACTCCAAAATGTTGCAAAATCCTGGACTGGAGAATGCTCCTGTCTTCATAGGGTCATTTCCTCATAGGTTTCGTTTTAGGACTGTAATTGTAACCTCTGAGACATGTTTATGTGATCAGCTTTCCACACTTTGCTCTCTCTCCCAGAGGCTGGAATGATGTTGTTGCCAGATCCTCAGTTGTTTCTTCCACTTTGTGATGGGGTGGAACTGACACAGGTAAGCAGAAGGATTCCTGGGAGAGGAGGAAGGGAGATGCCTGGGGGTCATTTGTTCCAGGCTTAACCACTAAACATCTCTTGAAACAGACAAGATTGAATGGGAGTTTCTTGAAAGTGAGATACTGAAGGCACAATTGCAAAGAGTGCCAATAGAGAGGAAAAAAATAAGGGAAATCTAAAGAAACAGAATGGATATTCAAAGAACTTTCAGCTGGGCTAAGATTTAAAAAGGGATGTGTACAAGAGATGGAAAGGTGGGCGGAGAGGGGGGAATCACCAAAGAAGAATTCAAACGGCTAACCAGCATAAGTTGGGAAAAGGTCTGATAAGCTAAAGCAGAAAATGAGCTCAGGCTTGCCAGAGAGATTAAAAACAATAAAAATGATTATTTGGTTGTGTCAGTAGAAGAAGAAGGAACAAGCCAAGAGTAGGGTCTCTGCCTGGAGAAGGTGGTGAAATGCTCACAGGAGATAGGGAGAAGGTAAAATGTTGCCTCAGTCTTCTCCCAAAAAGGAATCCGTATTCTACTTGAGCCAGATGGAGCAGATGAGGTAATAGGGGAAATGCAACCAAAAATAGGTAGAGAGAAGTATTCCAGGAATACCTGGCCAGTCTCAATGAATTCAGGTCTCCAGGGCCACATGAATCACATCCAGGACTCCTGAAGGAACTAGCAGAAGATGTTTTGGAACCACTACCAATAATACTTGAGAATTTTTGGAGAACGAGAGAAGTCCGAGCAGACTGGATGAGGCAAAGGTTCACCAAAGAATTCACCAAAATTAATTTCAACAAGGAGAAATGTAGGGTAGTACACCTAGACCAGAGAAAAACGCAATACACAGATACAAAATAGGAGACACCTGGCTTGACACCAGTTCATATGAAAGGGAACTTGGAGTCTTAGTATATCCCAAATTGAACAGGAGCCAAAAATGTGATGCAGCGGCTTAAAAACCTTTGGGATTTTGAGCTGCATCCAAAAGAATGTCTAAACTAAGTAAAGTCATTGTGAGCTTCTTTCTGCTTTGGTGAGACGTCACCTGAAATCACATTCTGTCCAGTTTTAGGGCACCACAATGAAAGCTGGAACATGTCCAGATTCCATTTCTAATTCTACATATCATTTAAGAAATGGTTCATAACTGTTACCAACCAGATGTCTCTACAAAGCTTACAACTGTGGCATGGAGGCCTTAGCCCCTTTCCTTTCAAACAACTAATAGGAATGTAAATCTACTTTAAAGGTTTTCTTATAATTGTTTTTCTTGGTAGCCCTTATGTGAGAAGGAAATGCATTCTTTTTCCACCAGGGCCCAGACGCCTTTGAGGACGTGGCTGTCCATTTTTCCCTGGCGGAGTGGGCTCTCCTGAGTCCTGATCAGAAAGTTTTGCACATACAGATCACGGAGGAGATTCATGGGATTGTGGACTCTCTTGGTAAGGCTCCTGCAATGATGGGGATTTCCATTTCAAAATGCAATATCCTAGTCAATAGCTCTCTGGTGGGAGCAGGATCCTAACTAATCACAATCTCTGAGAGTTCTCAAGGCAAGTCTTGTGTTAGAAATATATGACATGAGTGTAACATTAACTTGGTGCCTGAGTAACAGTGATGTCGGCACCATTTTGGACTCCAGTGGGAGGACTTCCATAACTGGAGTCAAGTCCAAGCATACCACACTCCCTCGCAGCAAGAGGGCTCCCTGGAAAGCCTATCAAGAGGAATCACCCCAGATCAGTCACAGTACCCCCTCTCCCTCCCTCCCTCCCCCCTCTCTCTCCCTCTCTGTGTGTGTGTGAGAGAGGCATGGGGAGGGAAGAAGCAGGTTGACTAGAGCAGTGGTTCTTAACCTGGGCCGCAAGGACAAAAATTCTGGTCCATGAGCATCCTTCCGCTTTTATTTATTTTATTTCCGCTCCTTTTGTTCCGTCTGCCACTCCTTTGCTGTCACTGACCATGGCATATGTTCTGTATCAGAAACTAGAGCTGATCCAGTCTATCCAATGCAATTTTCTTAATAAGCACCCCAAACCAAATCTAAAGTTGACCCAAAACTGATCCATAACCCTTTTGGTACTAATGTTGGAGAGTGGTCCCTGGTCAAAAAAAGGTTGGGAACCACTGGGCTGGAGAGAGAGGCTGGAGAATGGATCATCAAAAAGAACAAACTTCCCCTGGCTTCTGAATGCAGATGCAGCTATACATCTTTTTATCGGTGAGGTATTCAACTTAGTCTTTCCTCCCAACCAGGCAGGCTAGCCTTTGCACGTCTGAACACTAAGCTCTCTTTCTACACTGCCTCTCTGAGCACACAAACAGCCCCTAGACTCAGTCATTCGCAAGACGGTGACTTGTGATAATGCGTTCTATATATTATCATAACTTTGTCAAGTAAATCTATCCTTTTGGAACTCATATTTACAGCCAATTGCCAAAAAGCTTCAGAGTCCTATTCAGTGGTTGATGGTAAAAGCGTAACAATCTCTGTAATACTCTGAAATTAGGTATGGGATCTTCTATGTTGGAACAGAAAAAAGTATTATTATTACTATTACTACTGGGAAATGACAACATATCTTCTTTTTTCCATGTCTATGTCACTTTAAGGATCATTTCAATCCACTTTTTATTCCACTTCCTTAGAGTCCTCATAACTCATGCTGAGCAATGATTGTTTCTGTTCTTCTTCTTCACAGTAGATAACGTTGAGAAAAACAATGTATGCACCAAATGCAGAAAGTATTTTGCGTACAATGGAGGCCTTCATGGACACCAGCAGGCCCACAGTGAAGATGAAGATTCTGCGAGAGAAAGGCCGTATAAATGCAATCTGTGTGGGCAATGTTTTATCCAAAATGTGTCAGAATTTGGGAAGTTTTTTACTCAGGATACACACCTTATAGAGTACCAGGGATCTCACACAGGAGAGAAACCATACAAATGTAAGGAATATGGAAAATGTTTTGTTCAAAGTTCAACCCTTGTGAGCAACCACAAATCCCACACCAGAGAAAACGCATATAGGTGCCCAGATTGTGGGAAATGTTTTTCTTCCAGTTCAAGCTTGTTGAGGCACAATAGACTCCACACAGGAGAGAAGCCATACCAATGCCAGGAGTGTGGGAAATGCTTTGTTGCCAGTTCAGATCTGGGGAGCCACAAAAGACTTCACACAGGAGAGAAGCCATACCAATGCCAGGAATGTGGGAAATGTTTTGCTTACAGTTCAGACTTGGTGAGACACAAAAGACGCCACACAGGAGAGAAACCATACCAGTGCCATGAGTGTGGGAAATGTTTTGCTACCAACTCAGCCTTGGTGAAGCACAAAAGACTCCATACAGGAGAGAAGCCATACCAATGCCAGGAGTGTGGGAAATGTTTTGCCCGTTTTTCATACTTGTTGAACCACAAAAGACTCCACACAGGAGAGATGCCATACCAATGCCAGGAGTGTGGAAAACGTTTTGCTAGCAGTTCACACTTTGTGAGCCACAAAAGACTCCATACAGGAGAGGAGCCATACCAATGCCAGGAATGTGGGAAATGTTTAACTTCCAGTTCAGCCTTGGTGATGCACAAAAGACTCCAGACCGGAGAGAAACCATACCAATGCCCGGAGTGTGGAAAATGTTTTGCTGCCAGTTCAGATTTGGTGAGCCACCAAAGACTTCACACAGGAGAGAAGCCATACCAATGCGAGGAATGTGGGAAATGTTTTGCTTATAGTTCAGACCGGGTGAGACACAAAAGACTCCATACAGGAGAGAAGCCATACCAATGCCTGGAGTGTGGGAAATGTTTTGCCCGCAGTACATATTTGTTGAACCACAAAATACTTCACACAGGAGAGAAGCCATACCAATGCCTTGAGTGTGGAGAATGTTTTTCTCGCAGTTCGTGCTTGGTGAGGCACAAAAGACTCCACACAGGAGAGAGGCCGTTCCAATGCCAGGCATGTGATAAATGTTATCCTTGCAAGTCATCACTTCTGAGACACCAGAGTATCCACACAGGAGACAAGCCATTCCAATGCTACGACTGTGGAAAATGTTTTATTCAGAGTTCATCCCTTTTGAGCCACCAGAGAATTCATAGAGGAGAAAAACCAGGCAAAGAGCTGGAACAAAAGTAACGAAATGAATTGCAACAGGGAAATTGCAGGCTGAGGACATTCTGTTGCTGTAGATTATACAGTCAACATTTTCCGATGAACCCGTGTGATTCCCTTGGCTTCAAGTAGTACTTGGCTCGACTTTGGACTGATCTCTTAGATAACTCTCTTCCTTGTTTGGAACGCTGTTCAGATTTTTGTTTTTTGTTTTGCTTTTATGACTCGGGGCTATTTTGGAGAACTCTTTTGCTTCTCTGGACACCAGTATCACCATGGGACTGGACTGGCTTTCCTCTGGCCAGCCTTTGTGGTTAAACATCTGATTTCAGACAGAACCCTTTGAGAAGTTCTGTTCTTGTCATTTGAATCCCTAAGTTGAGGTTCTCTTCTCTGGAGCAGCAGAAAGCAACTTTACTGTAACAATCCTTCAGAGGATTAAATATGTTGTCACCTATTCTGAAGTGGAGCCGCAATGAGTTAAACCCTTGTGCCGGCTGGACTGCTGACCTGAAGGTTTGGTTGCTGACCTGAAGGTTGGAGGTTCGAATCTGCGAAACTGGATGAGCTCTGTCAGCTCTAGCTTGGAGGGACATGAACAGAATAGTATTCCGGGGGTGCCTTGGCAATGTCTCTGTAGACGGCCAATTCTCGCACACCAGAAGTGGCTTGCAGTATGTTCCCAAGTTGCTTCTGACATGATTTTTTTTAAAAAGCCTTATTGTGAAAAAAAAAACCCATATGTAATTCCATCAATTGTTCCTCTTGGTCTTAGTTTCAAGCTCCTTTACCACCTTGGTTACAAATTTCCAGTTTGTGAATGTTGTTTTTCAACCAGGATTCCAGAATTGAACACAATGCTTCTGTTGAGGCACAACAAAAGGAAAAGATGTTTGCACTATTATTTCCCCTGATGTACAAATTGTATCTCTGGCTAGAATTAACTGTATGTTTTCTTGCTCCTGGCACACACACTTTTGATCCACATTGAATTAGAAAAACAGGAATCTTGTTATTTTAGAATTAACCATGTTATCCATCATTGATTTTGTTATTGGCTGACAGAATTTGTTATATTTTGGAAAATTTAAGTCCCTGGATCTTATATATGAAGGAAATAAGTTTGTCTGTGTAAGCATGTGTAGGCAAACGTTGGTCCTCCAGGTGTTTTTGAACTTCAACTCCCATAATTCTTAACAGGTGACAAGCTGGCAGGGATTCATGGGAGTTGAAGTCCAAACACCTGGGGAGGGGCAACGTTTGCTGATATGGAGTGAAAAAAGTGTTTCTGTAATTAATACAAGCTTTCCAACTAGTCATATCCAATTGCTTGAGAAAATCTAATTATCAGTAAAGAAATTACCATATTTACTTGACTCTAAGTTGCACCTTTTTTGGCTAAATGGCCATGCCAAAATTGAGGTGTGCATTACTTACTTACTTACTTACTTACTTACTTACTTAGGCGATCCCTCGTTGTCCGAGTAGGATAGTCTTCCAAGATCAGTGTACTGGCAGTGGGTCCGTAGGTGACTCTGAAGCCCTATTCTTGATCTGCATCTTCTCCCACAGTGAGGGCATCGGTTTCCAGACGGAAGGCGGTCTCGGTTGGGGTTGGCTTGACGCGCCATCCTCTTGGCACGTTTTTCTCTTCACTCTCCATTCGTGCCTCTTCAAATTCTGCAGCACTGCTGGTCACAGCTGACCTCCAGCTGGAGCGCTCAAGGGCCAGGGCTTCCCAGTTCTCAGTGTCTATGCCAGAGTTTTTAAAGGTTGGCTTTGAGCCCATCTTTCAATTTCTTTTCCTGCCCACCTACATGCCGTTTTCCATTCTTGAGTTTGGAGTAGAGAAACTGCTTTGGGAGACGGTGGTCGGGCATCCAGACAACGTGGCCGGTCTAGCAGAGTTGATGGCAGAGGACCATCACTTCAATGCTGGTGGTCTTTGCTTCTTCCAGCATGCTGATGTTTGTCTGCCTGTCTTCCCAAGAGATTACCATATTTACTTAACTCTAAGGTGCACCTTTTTTTGGCTAAATGGCCATGCCAAAATTGGGTTGTGCATTACATTTGTGTAATATGGTTAAGTATGGGCAGGCAGGCTCATGCTCACAGGAGAGGCAGTGGGAGAATGCACTATCCTCCCTGCCTGGCCCAAGACGCCTTTGCCTCCTCCACTCCTGGGACCTGCAAGAGCCAAGGCTGCCTCCTACTACCGCTAGTGAGGCCTCCATCTGGTCTGCCATCAATCAAGTCAAAAAAGAAGCACAATTAAATCCCTGGCAGCCCGTGCAAAAAGAATCTGAGAACCCCATGTCCTCTAAGGTGAACTGAACCACCTAAACTCTATTTTAGTTTTATGTGTAGTTTATTCGTTCAGTCGCTTCTGACTCTTCGTGACCTCATGGACCAGCCCATGCCAGAGCTCCCTGTCGGCCATCACCACCCCCAGCTGCTTCAGAGTGAATCCAGTCACTTCAAGAATACCATCCATCCACCTTGCCCTTGGTCGGCCCCTCTTCTATTTTCCTTCCATTTCCCCCAGCATCATTGTCTTCTCTCGGCTTCCCTATCCTCTCATTATGTGGCCAAAGAACCTCATCTTTGCCTCCCATATCCTTCCCTCCAATAAGCAGTCGGGCTTTATTACCTGGAGGATGGACTGGTTGGATCTTCTTGTGGTCCAAGGCACTCTCAGAATTTTCCTCTAACACCACAGTTCAATAGCATCTCTCTTCCTTTGCTCAGTCTTATGGTCCAGCTCTCACATCCATAGGTGACTACGGGGAATACCATTGCTTGAACTATGCGGATCTTCGTTGCCAGTGTGGTGTCTCTTTTTTGTTTTCTTTTATGTTTTATAGCATTTCCCACCCAGTATGTGTTCCTCAATCTTGGAAAAGCAAGCAGTGGGACTTGACCACTTGCTAATACCTTCTTTTTTCTGTTGTAGATGGAGGCTCTGCTCTGCTTCAGAGACTGACTAGTTGCCTTTAATGTTATTTATTTATTATTTGAAACATTTATATTCCACCCTTCTCACCCCAAAGGGGACTCAGGGCGGAGCACATTAAAAACATTCAGTGCCGGGACAAGAATTCATGTAAGCATACATAAACATTAGAAACATTTATCACAATATTAAAATACACCGTTCAAAACCATCTTGGTCCTCTGCGTCAAATCTAAATTGGCTTGGTAAAATTTCTTATCGCTGCTTTATTGCACTGTCCCGAAAGTTTGGTCCCACAGCCAAGTTTTTACCATCCTTCTAAAGGACAGGAGGGATGGGGCCATCACTGAGAAGGCCCTCTCTCTTGTCCCAATCAATCATGCCTGTGACAATGGCAGGGTGGAGAGCAGGGCCTCCCCGGAGTGGTTCATAGCGGGAGATGCATTCGGACAGGTAAACTGGGCTGGGGCCGTTTAGGCCAAAGCCAGCACTTTGAATTGTGCCCAGTAGCAAACTGGCAGCCAGTGGAGCTGGCATAACATGGGAGTTGTATGCTCCCTGTATGCTGCCCCAGTTATTAACCTGGCTGCCTCTTGTTGGACTATTTGAAGCTTCCAAGCAGTCTTCAAAGGCAACCCCACATAGAGTGTGTTACAGTAGTCTATCCTGGATCCTGCTACATGCACAATGGAGGACCTTCTTGTGGCAACACCAGAGGCACTCCAAGTGGCCAGATACTGGTCAAAGGCATTTAATCAACTATCAAGCTTGCAAATTTTGTGTTTTGAGTTTGTTTGTTTGTTTTGTTCTGTTAGAAATGTAATACAGTTGTCTGGTTGCCTGACACAATAAATAAAATCCTGGATGTAACGGGAGCGTGGACCACCATGGCCAAGTCTGACTTCCTAAGGTATGGGCGCAGCTGGTGCACAAGTTTTAATTGTGTGAAAGCTCCCCTGGCCACCACTGTAACCTGGGATTCCAGGAGGACCCCCAAGCTGTGAACCTGTGCCTTCAAGGGGAGTGTGACCCCGAGCAGCACAGGTTGTGACCCTATACCCTTTTCGGCCTTGCGATTGACCAGTAGGACCTCTGTCTTGTCTGGATTCAGCATCAATTTGCTCGCCCTCATGCAGAGCGTCACAGCGGCCAGGCACCGATTCAGGACTTGGACAGCATCCTTAGCATCTGGTGGGAATGAATGATATGTAGAGTTGGACGTCATCTGCATACAGATGGCATCGGACTCCAAAACTCCGGATGATCTCCCCCAGCGGCTTCATGTAGATGTTAAACAACATGGGGGCAATACCGAGCCCTGTGGGACCCCACAGGACAATGGCTGTGGGGCCAAGCAGGAGTCCCCCAGCAACACCTTCTGGGTATGACCCTCCAGGAAGGACTGGAGCCATTGCAGAACAGGACCTCCAAGACCTATCCCTGCGAGGCACCCCAGAAGGATACCGTAGTCTACGGTATCGAAGGCCGCTGAGAGGTCCAGGAGAACCAACAGGGACACTCTTCCCCTGTCAAGCCCTCTGCTCAGTGGGGTTGGGGAGCAATTGTTTGGCAGGGAAATACATCTATCTAAGTAACCATCCTATGAATAGGGAATGTTTCTCCATGACTGTATCTCTGCCTTCATCTTGAGTCCTTTGGTCCAAACTATGTCTCTCTCTCTCTCTCTTTCGCTCTTCTTCTCTCTCTGCTTCTGCATAGCTCAAGCCTGAACAAAATGTAACAGTATCCAAAAGTCCCAGGATCAGCCATCATCTCGAGTCCTTTGGTTCCAGGGCTTTGGAGAGATGCTCTTTCCTCCTCCTTCCACTGGGCAAGGAAGGGTTAAGGGGAGGGAGTGTGGTTCCCAGAGAGGCAGGAAGGAAGTGGGCCTCCTTATACCTGCCTTTCCTGTCCCTCTAGGAACCAAACTCCCTTCCCTTAACCCTTCCTTGACTGTCTGGGAGAGGAGAGCTTGCCCTTTTGGCCTCTTCCTCCTCCACCACCTCCTTGCAGCCTTTTCCTTCTCTTCCTCCTTCCTCTCCTTTTGGTGAGTCTTCTTCTCCTTCCTTCTCCAAAGGGCCAAAGAGAGACTGAAGCCCAACACACCTGGAGGGAGGGCTGAAGTAGGCCCAGGTCTGGACTAACATGGGATTGGGGGTCATCAGATTCTCCAACTGGGGATCCTTGGGAGGAGAGAGAGGCAGGCAGGCAGGCAGAGGGGCCAATGGCTTTCCCTTGCCAACCCACTCACCTGCCTGCCCGGGTCCTCTCCCTCCTCCCTTAAATTTTTCATAGAATCCTAGAGTTGGGAGAGACCTCATGGGCCATCCAGTCCACCCTATTCTGCCAAGAAGCAGGAAGATTGCATTCAAAGCACCCCCGACAGATGGCCACCCAGCCTCTGTTTAAAAGCCTCCAAAGAAGGATCCTCCACCATACTCTGGGGCAGAGAGTTCCACTGCTGAACGGCTCTCACAGTTAGGAAGTTCTTCCTCATGTTCAGCTGGAATCCCCTTTCTTGTAGTTTTATTACACGTTTCAAAGGAAAATATGTTTCAAAGGAAAAGGAGATCACAGAAGGGGAGGAGGGTTATGAAGGTCTGATTAGTAGATTACAACTAATGTATCACAGAGGAAGGGAACGGAGCGGGGAAGAGAAGCCTTGCATTTGCTATAATTATTACATCTATATCTTCAACTCAAGCACTATTATTATTCACATTGTTCTGAATATTCCACACTTGAATATTCCACATTCAGAACAATGTGAACAATAATAGTGCTTGGAATATTGAATACTGGAATATTGAATACTGAATGGGAGATCAGTGGGAGGCCAGGTGGGCCTGGAGGCTGGAAAAGCAGAGACCCAAGTGGAAGGAGGGCCCAGCATTACCTGGCTCTGAAATAAATAAATAAACGGCTTGTTTTTTTACTCTCCAAGAAAAAATGTTCCAAAGCCCTTTGTCTTATTTTGTCTTTCTTTCACAGAGGAAATGTGATGGTTGGTTAAGTATTTTGGAGTAGAGCCTGTTCAGGGATTTCTTTCCCTTGATGGAAGAGGGAGGAAAAGCATCTCGGACCCAGTTTGCTTCTTCATCAAAGAGTGGTTCCAACATGGAAAGACCCAACTCACCTGGACCTGAAGCTGACAGGGCCCCAGGAAGCAGTGGGGAATTCTGGGAAAGAACTACACAGACATTCCTGAGTGTGGACCTATATAGCTCAGACACACAGGGCCAGCGCTTCAGGCATTCCTCCTTCCAAGAGGGCGAGGGACCCAGAGAGGTTTGCAGCCGCCTCCACTCTCTCTGCCGCCAGTGGCTGAAGCCAGAGCAACACACCAAGGCGGAGATGCTGGACCTGGTGATCCTGGAGCAGTTCCTGAGCATCCTGCCCCCAGAGATGGGGAGCTGGGTCCGAGAGTGTGGGGCAGAGACCTCTTCCCAGGCGGTGGCCCTGGCGGAAGGCTTCCTCCTGAGTCGGGCAGAGGACGAGAAGCAGGAAGGACAGGTGAGAGCATTGCCTCTTGGGTTCACTCACCTTGGGACTGGTGGAGAGATTGAACATACATCCTGCCTTCCTTCCAAGATGGGACCTATGATAGAGATAAGTCAGACTCTGTTCCCTCGGCCTCTTTTCCCACCTGCTCTGCCCCTCCTGTCTCACCTCCATATCCAGTATGAGCACAGTTGCTGCTCTACTCAAATTTGTTGACAACAGATAGAACATTTAATATGATGGGAGGGGAAATATGGCCAATCTCAAAATGCAGTTTCTGCGCATTTGTGGGTAAATCCTTTTCTAACCTTTACCTATACTACTTAAGGGATTTTCTGTGCTCTTCTAGGCCCAAAATAACTGCATTAAACTCCACCCTGATGTCTTTGAATCAGAGAAACCTCCATTAGACACCACCCAGATCCTCCAGCAGAAGGAGCTCAAGCAGGAAGACTATGGGACTACAGCCTTGGAAGGTAAGAAGGAACGCTTCTGGAAGTTTTAGTGTTTTATGTAATTTCCCCTTCGGGGGATTGTAGCACATCCACAATCGGTTTGAGCTAGAGAAGGATGCTTTGGCCTTGAGATACGTATATAGGTAGGCAATTGGTGGCAAAATGTATAATTTCACTGTGATTTGGATACATGCAGCATCATTTGGCCCAGAGATGATGATGATGATGATGATGATGATGGTGATGATAACTTTATTCTTATATTGAACCACCAGCTTCCCGATGTAACTATGGGTGGCTTACACATGGCACAAGGTGACTAAAAACAAAACATAAAATAAATCACAATATTAAATACAATAGAGTAAAACACATAGACACATAAAACTGAGTAAACTCAGTAAAACAGCACTCATCAACCAATGGCGGTAAACTGCTGTAAATGTGGCTAGGCTGTAGGACAAGGGAATGGGATAAGTGCAGAGCTGTAACAAAGGAAAGTGGGCATGGGATGAAGTGCAAAGCTGTGTAACTATTGCACAGAACAGCTGGGACTAGGCGTTCTCAAAAACTTGTTTGAATTACCTCCCCGGGATATTTTAAAGCCTGCACTGGTTCATAGGGGGAGATGAGCATATAAATAGGCATTTGGTTTCAAAAGGTGTGATTTCAGTGTGATTTGGAGTTTTCTTCATTGTTATACTTCTATATTTGCATACTGTTGGATGGGACTAAAATATCAGCCATACAATAAGATGAGCCATGAAACTCACCTGGAAGACAGACAGACAAGAAATAACTTTAGTCAATTGAAAATCCAACCTATTCACAGCATTAAATGAGTATCATGGCCTTATTTCCTGGTTTTGTGTGAAGCCAGGAAATTAGGCCATGCCTTAGACCTGTCCTGTGTATATTTGAAATCTGGGAGAGGGTTGCCATGGAAACAGGAGCAATGCAGGTGAGGGACCAGGGTGAGGAGTGAGGGAAATAAACTGTCAGTTGGAACTTTGTTGCGTTCCCTAATGCATGCTTTTAAATGAAAGCCTTCCAACTTTGTTCGTGAGGTAATTTCATCACCAGAAAGCTACAGATCTGGACAATGAGATAAAAAGTCCTAATCTCCAATCTTTACATATTCCTGGGTTGGATAATCCCCCTGTATTCATAGGGTCGTTTCCTCGTTGGTTTCTTTTTAAGACTGTAATTGTAACCTCTGAGATATGTTTATATGATCAGCTTTCCACACCTTTCTCTCTCTCCAGGGGCTGGAATGATGTTGTTGCCGACAAATCCACACTCATTTTTTTCCCTTTGTGATGGAGTGGAACTGAATCAGGTAAGCAGAAGGATTCCTGAGAGAGGAGGACTGGAGCTGCCTAGGTGTCATTAGTTGTAGGCTTAATTATCGAACATCTGTTGAAATGATGAATAGGAGTTTCTTAAAAGTGAGATACTGAAGGTCTAAAGAAGCCAGAATGGATGTTCAAAGAACTTTCAACTGAGCTAAGATTTGAAAGGGACATGCACAAGAAATGGAAAGATGGGAAATCACCAAAGAATTCAGATGACTAACCACCATAGGGGTTTTGTCAGTAGAAGAACTAAATGCTAGGAATTATCGGCCTTGTGCATGGAGTAGGTGGTGAATGCTGAGAGGGGATAGGGAGAAGGTAGAACGTTGCCTCAGTCTTCTCCCAAAAGGGAATCAGTATTCTGCTTGAGCAAGATGGAGCAGATGAGGAAATAGGGGAAATGCAACCCAAAATAGGTAAAGAAGTCATCCAGGAATACTTGGCCACTCTAAATGAATTCAAGTCTCCGGGGCCTCAGGAACCACATCCAAGAGTTCTGAAGGAACTAACAGAAGAAATTTCAAAAGCACAGGCAATAATTAGTACACTAAGGCAGTTTTGGAGTGTTAGTAGACCACAAGTTGAACATGAGCCAACAGTGTGCTGCACCACCTTAAAAACCTATGGGATTGTGGGTTGCATCCAAAGGAGTATAATGAATATAGCACTGGGACTGTGGTGCAGCTGGCTGGGAGTCACCTTCATTAAGATCACTACTGACCGAAAGGTCATGAGTTCGAAGCCAGCCCAGGTGGGAGTGAGCTTCCGACCATCTGTGTAGCTTGCTGTTGACCTTTGCAACCCAAAAGATAGTTGCATCTGCCAAGTAGGAAATTTAGGTACCGCTTATGTGTAGAGGCTAATTTAAGTAATTTACAATGCCATAAAATCTCCAGCAAGCAAGCAGAGAATGAGGAAGTACTCCATCAGTGTCACAAATGGATGGTGAAGCGACACCTCGCCTGGTGGCCAGAATACCCTCATGAAGCTGGAATGTTAAATAGCCTCTGTGTGCCTGTCTATATATGTTGTATGTCTATGGCATTGAAAGTTTGCCATGTATATGTACATTGTAATCCACCCTGTGTCCCCTGTGAAGTGAGAAGGGCTGAATATAAATATTGTAAATAAATAAATACATAAATAAATTAAGGGAAGTCATGGCAACCTTTCTGCTTTGGTGAGGCCTCATCTGAAATAACAGTTTAGGGCACCACAATGAAAATTGGAACATGTCCAGTTTCCACACATCCATTAAGAAAAGGTTTTGACTGTGACCAACTGGAAGTCTCTACAAAGCTTAAACTATGCCATGGGGGGCCTTAGCCCTTTCCCTTTCAAACAACCAACAGGAATGGAAATCTACTTTAAAGATTTTCTGGTAAGTATTCTTCTTGACTCCTTTATGTGAGAAGGAAATGCTTTCTTTTCCCACCAGGGCCCAATCGCCTTTCAGGACGTGACTGTTGATTTCTTTGGAGGAGTGGGTTCTCCTGAGTCCTGATCAGAAAGCCTTGCACGTGCAGATCATGGAGGAGATTCATGGGATGGTGGACTCTCTTGGTAAGGCTCCCTCGCTGATGGGGATTTCTATTTCAAAATGCAGGATCCCAATCAGCAGCTCCCTCGTGGGAGCAGAATCCAAAATCGTCTCAACCTCTGAGAGTTCTCAAGGCAGGTCTTGTGTTAGAAATACATGTCATGAGTGTAACATTGACTTCGTGTCTGAGTAACAGTGATGTTGGCACCAATTCATACTACAGTCGGAAGACTTCCATAACTGGAGTCAAGTCCAAGCATACCACACTCCCTGGCAGAAACAGCCGCCCCTGGAAAACCTATTAAGAGTAATCACCCCAGATCAGTCACACTACTGTCTCTCTCTATGAGTGTGTGTGTGAGAGAGAGGCAGGGAGAGGGAGGAAGCAGATTCATAGAATCATAGAATCAAAGAGTTGGAAGAGACCTCATGGGCCATCCAGTCCAACCCCCTGCCAAGAAGCAGGAATATTGCATTCAAATCACCCTTGACAGATGGCCATCCAGCCTCTGTTTAAAAGCTTCCAAAGAAGGAGCCTCCACCACACTCCGGGGCAGAGAGTTCCACTGCTGAACGGCTCTCACAGTCAGGAAGTTCTTCCTCATGTTCAGATGGAATCTCCTCTCTTGTAGTTTGAAGCCATTGTTCCACGTCCTAGTCTCCAAGGAAGCAGAAAACAAGCTTGCTCCCTCCTCCCTGTGGCTTCCTCTCACATATTTATACATGGCTATCATATCTCCTCTCAGCCTTCTCTTCTTCAGGCTCATAGGGCTTGTTCTCCAGA